GAATTCTAAAACCTACTATATGTTTCTTATTCTCTGAATGTCATGACATATGAATGCTGTAACGTTGCTCATACACGTATAATATTTCTACATACATTTATGCATCACTACATCTATGCAAACAAGTTTATATATTTTTATCAATATAGATAAACGAGTATGCATTTTGCATATTTTATGTATAAAAAAGAGAAAATGTACGTTGTACGAATTGTAACGTAAAACTTCACGTAAGAGCGCATTTCCATTGATATTTTTAATCTGTATTGTGTGGAAATAAACACAATCAAAACGCTATATTTTAAATTGCGTATTGAAATATAAGAATGAGCTTGTTTGGATGCGTTTGATTAGATGTACAAAAGCAAAGTTATATTTACATATGTGCACGTTATTGATCCATATGCACATACATATACATATATGTTTTGTATGTGATATGTATGTAAATAAAAGTGTATGTAATGCCATAATTTTTTCAGGTTTTTTTTTGTCTTTTATGCTTTTTGAGAAGTTTTAAAAAATGTGATACAACGAAAACGGATGTCAATGATGCCGTAGGCGTGACTCTACCGCATACACATATGAACATGTTTAAATAAACATATATGTATATGTGTGTATACGTACAAAAGAACGTAGGTTTTAAACAAAAAATATTTAATTTTTTTTAAATTTTCGTTTTTATTTTTAAGAGTAGAAATCATGACATTACAATTATAATTTTGCGTTGTGGAAATAACATCACACCTTTTTGATTCTGGAAATTTTGTGTACATGAACATAATTTAGGAAATATTTATACAAGTTACGAGGCCATAACAAAACAAATTTTTTTTTCCTTATGACTTCTAACTAGAAATTTGATACAGGGAAAGTAAAAAAAAGCGCACCAAACACAGATTTGCATTTTTAAGAAAATGACAGGAAGTCGCGGACATAAAATCTAGAATAACTCGAAAAGTATCAGTTTTTTAATCAAAGCTAGAGGATAAAATATGATGTTATAGGTATTTAATATTTTATATTCCTGGTTTGACACTTAAATGTCACAAAATGAACAAATGTAAAAAAAATTTATGGCCGCACAATTGAATTTTCTTGTTGTTTAAATACATTACCAAAATCAAGAGTTTCCGAATTTTTATTAACCATTTATGTTGGCGCTCTATGGAAATTAACAATTCTATTATAAATGAATATTTTCAATAAACTCATATTTAAATGTAAAAAATAAACTGAAGCCCCCTCTCTTTCAAATCAAAGAAGTAGGTACTCAGTGTTTTCAGAAATGAAATAAAAAAAGTGTGCCTATCTAGACAACTAGTCGCGCGATGTAAAAATAATGCATACATATTTCTTTACTAACACAGAGAAAATTTTCAGAACGACAAATATATGTATGTAGGTACTCTTTTACAGTTCCCACACATAATACGAATACACTTTATTTGTTCATATCATACATTATTATGCTTAGCATTACTACACTGTACACAAACATAACGTGCTACACTAAATGTACGTAATGATATATAGGTATGCTCATAAGAAACTTGATTGAATACAACAAGTAATACAGATTATTGTACATATAAATATATTTTTATAAAATGTGTTGTGCATTGTCTTGACAGTGTTCGTCGAAACCGACGGAAATATTATTTTTCTCAATTAAATTTTATAAAAAATCAATTTCTTTTAATTTTAGTGAAAAAATCTTATTTCATTTTTAAGATACATGTCATAAAGTCACACTAATTTTTACAAAACTTTTTTAAAAACTCAAACAACAGCAAAATCAAGCTTAAGTTGATTTCTTATATTTTCAAACAACTATCGCCAGTTTAATCAAAGTAACTATCCACAAATCAAAAATTTCTTTTAAATTCCCTTATGAAGTAAAATTCGGACAAGAATTATGTTAATTTTCGAAAACAAGAATGGGGTCGGTACATCTAAGTTGAAAATGCAAGTTATAAATAAATTCTTCATACCTTCTGATGTAATTTCAACTACATACATAATTGTTCAATATTATACAATCGGTTGTAAGCTGTAGATCGAACCGTAAACCGTTTGATATGTTTAATGGTTTACTTATAAAAAGTTGTTCAAAATAATTCAATCAAATATCATTTAAAATACTGTCTGAAAATTTGAATCGAAAAAGATCTGCAAATGAGAAGTTGTTTTGTTTGAATATTCATTATTACAAAACGTTTCACTTAATAATTTTACTAATTTAATTAGTAAGTCATTATTATTATGAATAATGTTTCATGTTAGCAAATAAAAGCAAAACGAAATATAGAAACAGAATAATAAGTTAAGTTCAAGATTCCTCTTCACTTTACATTTCAGAACACCGCTTCCCCATCCTAACTTGTTTTTTTGTTTTTCCAATTTACCTGTTGTTTATTTTGAAAATCACTGCAAAAATACTTATTTTTATTGTAAATTTTAAATTCAGACATATCGGCGATACATTAATTCAGAATATTCACTTTAAACCTACATAACATTTAATATACATATAAAGAATATTATGCACACACGTAAATATAATATGTCTATACACATGTATGTTAAAGTTTCCGAAACCATTCAACTAATTTTTTATTGTTTTATTATAATACCTTTGAAGCATTAAAGAGCACAGCCATTATGTAGCAGTGTTAATATTGCAGTTATGAACATATATTTTAATAATTTTTAAACACATGTTTAATAATTATTATCACGATTTATACGTATACATGAAAACTTCAACAATACGTTTACAAATTTTAAATTATACATGCGACAACACCATAACCAATTCTAATTGAAAAGAAACAAACGTGAACGTTTGGACACTCTTTTTTGACGTTCTCATTTCGTAACGAATTTTGTTTTTATCATCGTACAATTTTTGTTTTGCTCTCTCTCTCTCTCTCTTAAGTTTGGAAAAGAATGACAAATGACTAGTAAAAGAATTTTTGAAATTCATTAAATTTATTATTATTATTTCAACTGCATCAGATATAAAAACATTTCATTTTAATATTTCTCAATTGCATATTTTCCGTGTTACTTGAAATTTTATAGTTGATAATTTACTCTCTTATATTAAAATACGTTTGCCTTTATAAAATTTTAAAACAATTTAAGTGTCTACTCTCTTTTTTAATTCTAGTGTCCTAACCTAATTTGTTATAAATTAAAACTGATATGTAAAGTCATTGTCTGATTCACTAACACACAGTTAAGAAAATTGAACTAAAATACTAATAGATTGCAACTATACCACAAACTAATCTATACAAATATATCTGAAGAAGAGTTTCTTAAACTTAATCTACCGGTCCAAATATTCTTCTTGTAACTTATAACAGATCTCGCAGTTCTTTTTTGCAATAACAATGTGTTCGACACTCGAAGTAAAATATAAAAGATTTAAATTATATATATACAAAGTTCATGATATACTTGATTATTCAATCAAATTATTTGAATAAATATTACAAAAAATACCAAAGAAATATCTTTAAGGTAAGAAAAACCAAGTGTTATTTTGACAGTTGTCGCAGCTGTAAACTACGTAGACCATGTTACTGATTTGTTCGATTTTAAATTTCAGTTTGATAACAAAATTTGAATAAATTGCAAAAATTAGGAAAGAAAATTCTAACTTTATTCTTGTAAAATATTTTTCTAAATAAAATTACAAATATTTCTACAACTGTTTTACACATGAAGTCCACAGTATGAGAAACACTATTTAATATTTTAAACAATGCAATAACTATATTGGTATTCAATCAAAATTATGTGTGTTCGCTTAGGTGTAAGTACAAAACAAAAGCAAACTGTGATACAAGCACAAGTGTGGTTCATATAATTTTAGTTTGGAGAGAATTCCTATATATAAGTCCAAGTATATTCATAAAATTGTATGTATGAGTTTGTCAGATAAATACAGGTTTTTTTTTTGTTCATTTTCAATAATTTATTCTACATGTATATTTTATAAATTTATTTCAGAATTCGCGTAATAGATAAAGACGACACGACGACTGCTAGTTAGTAAAGTATAAAAACGGAAAGTATAAAAATATACTCATACACATATTAACTAGTATAATGATGAAATTGAAACAGACGACAGCCGCGATTTTTATTAATTCAATAAAAAGAAAAAAATATTTTTTATTTCGTTATATTTGAGACGGTGTAGAATACAAACACATTGTTAAATATCAGTATAAAACGAATAGTGTAAGCGAGCGGGAAGACGAAGACTTTTCGGCGGCTCGGTGTTTTTTTATCTTTGTTTTTGTTTTTTGCTTTTTACTATGATTATTTTGAATTTCTTCCCTACATATTATTGAGTATTTTTTGTACTTGCTTTTTTTTTTGTTTCGTTTGTTGCTCTTTTTTTTAGTCATACTACAATTTTTAGAATATTGAGAGCTACAAACTAGAACACTTGTGATTTTTAATTTTATTTAGTTCGGTAACTTCAATCCAACAAGTCATAAAATATAATAACGTCGGGTGCAAATTAAAAAAAAAAAACTTTTTTTTTTTTAAATATTTGTTTAATAAGAAATAGTTATTTTATTTGATTTGATAAAATAAATAATTCTGAAATAGACTTCAGAAATTAATTTAATAATATTAAAACATAATAACAATAAATAAATTATGAAACTTTAAATAAAATAAAGTCATTTTTATACAAAAAAAATCAATAAAATAATTTTATTCAAAACATTATTATTTTATAAATTATTTGATTTTAATAACAAATTATTGAAAGTGATAAATATCGGAAACAAAGCCAAGAAATACAAGTGCCTATATATTTAAAATTAATTAATTGAAAATTGCAATTAAATGAATTTAATTAACATAATTATAAATAATGAAGTTACGAAAGTAAAATATATCAAAAAATAATTGGAAAAAAAAACAAAATATTAAATAAGAATATATTAATTTTTTTTTAAAAAGAATTGTAAACATTATTGAATAAACTAGAAAAGTTTTTTTGAATTTCTTTGAACAATTCTAACTACTCATAAAATATAATAAATGGCGCATGAACTTAACTCAATATTAAAACGTGATATTGAATGTACAACAAATAATTTTAAAATAATTAATTATAAGCCAACAACAGCAATAAAATTGGAGCATTCAACATTCGATAATCAAAACTTATCAAAAAATAATAATAATAATATAAATTTAATAAAGCGTGAAATTGAGAGTGACAATAATAATTGTAATAGTATTAGTAGTAATAATATGTTAGTAACAACACCATCAATGAATCATAGTTTCAAAAAATTAAATAATAATAATTACAATATTAATAATAATAATAACAATACTGATACTAATTTAATGTTATTGACATCATCATCATCACTGGTATCGTCAGCCATATCCAATACAAAACAGTCAATTATTGACAATCCGTCGGCAATAACATCTTCTGTTAAATATTTTACAAATAATATCAATAACAGCAATAAAGCAATAAAATCATCATCGAATACAACAAACTCAACAACAACTTCAGCAACCGGTAGTACAAAAATGGGTTCAAGAAGAATATTTACACCTCAATTTAAATTACAAGTATTAGATTCATATCGTAATGATAGCGATTGCAAAGGCAATCAAAGAGCAACAGCACGAAAATATGGAATACATAGGCGTCAAATACAAAAGTGGTTACAATGTGAATCAAATTTACGTTCATCAGTGGCAAACTTAAATAATCAAAATAATATAAAGCATCAATTCCATAATATTAGCCATAATAATACTAATAATAGTAATAATAATAAAACAAATAGCAATATTGGTAAAATTCAGTCAAATTTATCAAATGTAACATCTGCGACGGTAACAACAAATTCAAATACTGCTGCAGCTGCTGCAGCAGCAGCAGCTACCGCCGCCGCAGCCGCTGCTGAGGCAGCACATCATCATAAGTTGCCAAACGAAACACCTAGACATCATGGCGTTATATCGTTAATGAGACCTATTCCATTACAACATGATAAAAATACATCTAATAATATGATACCAACTGTTTGTGCAAATAATGGAACAAATATGTCCCCATTTTTAACACATCATCAAACTCCATTTAATCAACATCGTCATAGCATCAATAGCAATGCATTATCAAATATATTACCGCCAACAACTACGACAACAATGGTAGTGCCCGTAGCAACGGCTGCAACAATCTCGTCTGGTTTTATACCAACACCACCACAACCGACAAATATCAGATCTTCCAATAACTTATTGAATTTGAACTCACATAGTTCTGACATACCAATTATTGCAACAAAATCAAATCAATCGCATATCATGTACAACGTGCCAACTTTACAGCCATATACAGCTACAGCAACAATTAATTCTTTGGATCAACAAAATAGAATAAGTAATTTAATAGCAGCTCCAAATTGCAATAGTAATAATACTTATACACCTGATAATTCTATAGTATCAACAGCAACGACAGTAGCACCAACAATAACAACATCACCTTCTTCAATAGCACCACTAGGAGCAGTGGCAGCAACAAAATCAGGCACATATGCTGTTAACGATCAAAATGTAAATGTATCAGTACCAATACCAATATTACCGACACCTCGTCACCCTCCTCCTCCTCCTTCACTTCATTCACATACAATACATCATTTAAACCATTCACAACATTATTCGTATCATTACCAATACTTACAACAACAAATTCCTTCAGTCAATTCTCAGCTACCAATACAATTACATAATCATACAATAGCAGTCCAACATAACAACCATCATGAAAATCGTATGTATGTGCCGCCGTCAGTTAGTCTGCCAATTAATTCTAGTAGCGATATTAACTCAACAAATACTACAAATTCAGTTGGAGAAACTACAGAGCGACAGTGTATAACACATCAACAAATTACACCACAGAATAATGCACATTCATTAAGTTTATACGAGTATAATGATATGAAAGAAAATTCAACAGGAAATGCCATTTCTACTTATGATTATCAAATTGGAAATAGAGAACAAATTATAACAACAGTAAAATTAGAAGAACAATCTATTCAACGTTCATCGTCACCAATTGATTTATCAATTGGCAATAAACGACGTTTGGACGATCAAAAGCAATTATCAGAAGAATCAGAAGAAATTCAGATTGATGTATGTGAGGATGAAGTTGATGATAATAAAGATTTAGTAGAAATAAAATCATCTAATCTCAATAAAATTACTTGTAACGATCAAACAAATGATAATTCTGTAGTTGATTTATCTTGTAGAAAACGTAAACTTAGTGATAATGATTTTGAAAATATTGAAAAACCTCCAGAAAAACAACAAAAACTCGATCAAAAAACAGAAAATCCAAAACCTGTTAAATTATTTAAACCATATCTTTTAGACAATGAAAATGAAAAGGACAATAATAATACAGAAAATATTTCTAGTACTACGAAAAACGAAAAAGTTGATCGAAATCCGGTAATATGGAGTCATTATCAATCAGAATATGATTTACATAATGATGAAATAGTTAATAATAATTTTTTACAAGATTCAAATTCTCACAACAGCAGCAACGCACAAATAAATTCCGATTACCATTATATGACTGGGAGTCCTAATTTTCAAAATCAATCATCATTAACATTATTAACTTCTTCTTGCTCCTCTTCTACTATAAACCATAATAATAATAATACAAATAATCCACATACAATAACACCATTAAGTGATAGTTGTAGATCAACAATCATTTCAAGTGGTGTTTTATCCCCAAGATCACCAAATGGATTTTGGAATTGTCCAAAAGGATCACCAGTTTCTGGTTATGAAACTGCATCAATTTATAGTGATTGTAGTGATTATCATAATTCAAATACTTATAATAATAATATTCATAATAATAATGTTACAAACAATACTGGAAATAATAATAATTCTACATTATCTGGAACAAATAATGTTATATCAAATAATAATTCAAATGAATTACATCAAAATATAACAGATACTTCTGTTGTAACTTTATCAACAAATAGTAATAACAATAATAATAATGTTAATAATAATGAAGAATCAAAAATCATATCATTTAAACGTAATCACATTCAAAGATGGCTTGAACATGATTCAGAATCAGATAACGGTAGACAAGGTATAACACTTTATAGTTAATGAAATCATTCAATTTCATATTAATTATAATGTTAATTATTAATTATTTTAAAAATTTTAATTTATTAATTAAGGATTTCATTTTATAAATATTAAATTTTTTTTTACAATATTTTTTTAAATGTTTTTCTTTTTTTGATGGTTTCATGTGGAATGTTAAAAAGAATTTATTCTCTGAACTTTATATTACTGAAATATTATCATATTATTAAAAATATAGATAAATATTAAAATTATTATCTGCTATTGATTTGATATCTGTTATATAAATTATAGTTTTAAAAATTTCAAATTAAATTTTGTTTCATTTAAAATTAAAATATTTTTGTCCTTAATTTTCTACTAAAATAAATTATTATTCAACATATTAAACAGTATAAATTTTTATCGTATTGAATTGTTAAAATATGAATTTTGAAATATCAAAAAAAAATATTTTTATCTTTATTTAGTTTATATTTTAATTAAGAATAATAATTATAAAATAGTGCAAGACTTAATTATCAATATAAATGTTTTTTTTTTATCTTTGTTTTATGTATAAAATATTTAATATAATTGAAATATGAATGAAAAATTTCGTATAATAAAAGAATAATTTCAATTTTATAATAATAAAATAATTATTTTTTTAATTTAATTAAAAAAAAAATATTTTATATATAAAATATACAAATATAAATATTTTTAATATTGTAATAATATAGAAACTCTGACTGAAAAATTTGTTAAATTGTATATAATATGAAAAATTAGAAATAATTATAATAATAATGCCTTATTAGTTCTTAGTTTATATAGATAATAAATATATAATGTTGAAATAATATTAAAATTGTAAATTAATTACAATAAATAAAAGAAAATAAATAGCTTTTAAATAGATTTATAGAATAAGGAAATCTGTTAACGTATACATATATATATTTTAAAATATTAAATTTATGTATATATTATTATTACATAATATATTAAAAAAATATATATGCATAATAATTACTTTATTAATATTCAATAAATTTAATGTTTAATTTTTAATGTTAATTATTAAAATAAAATTATTATTATTATTTCTTATCATTTTTTTTTATTTGTAAAAATTTTTAAGTAAAAAAACTTTTCAGTCAAATAAAAACAAAAAAAAAAAGTTTAAATTAAATAAAACAATTAAAAATTTTAGTTTTAAAATAATAATGAAAAATATTTAGTCATTAAATAATAATAATAATAATAATAATAATAATAATAATAATAATAATAATAATGACAACTTAATTTCACTCATTATATTTAACACTTATTTAATTTAATAAAATTAAAAATAAAATATAAATTGGAAAATATATTCGGAATATATTAATTTATTTTAATTGAAGAGCTAATAAAATAATAATTAAAATGAATATTTTCAATTAATAAATAACCACAAATATTAAGAGTAGAAAAATTAAAATTATTTTGCAATAAATAAAATAAATAAAATTATGTTGATAAAATATTTTTTGTTTTGAATAAATTATTATATTCTATACACTTAAATTTCATATCTTCAATAATCAAACAAAAAAAAAAACAAACAAAAACATATGAATTAAAAATAAAAAATTAAATTTAATTAAAATATTAATTAGCTTTAAAAATTAAATTTAAAAATTGGAAATCATTTTACATTAAAGAAAAGAAAAAAAATATGCCTTTTGTTTTTAAAAAAAAAAAAAAAAGAAAAAAATTGTCTAAGTATTTTGTGATATTTGTGAATTAAAAATAAATAAAAAAATTTCTAAAGATAACAATAAATAAAAATTAAGAGAAATTAATTGAAAAATAAAAAAAAAATTTTTAATAAAATTAAGAAAATTTTTAATTATGATTTTATCATAATTAATTATTAATCATCATCATTATTTTATATAAGAGTATTTTTGTATATAATATATAAATTAGAGAATATTTTTGAATAAAAATTATATTTTATTTTATAATTTTTATTTTTTTTTTCTTGTTAATTATAGAAAACAGTATTTTTGGAGAACAAAATTATATTATCTAATTATTATAAATGTATAAAACAAAAATGAAAGTATATATAGTTTGCTATATATAATAAATAAAAAAAAAATACAAATAATTTTTTAAAAAAAGAAACATTTTTTTTTTATTTTAAAATTATAAATTTGAAATTTTTCAGAAATCAAAGACTAATCTCGAAATATTCACTCAAATTCTAAATAGAATCATTGTGATGTGATGACATATGTCAAAAAACATTTCGTGTACTATTGGGTTGAATTCACTTTTACAATTTTCAATGCGAGAGATCTTATTAGTTAAAACTGTACTGTAATAGAACTACTGAAGCAGCTCTGTCAACATATACATAATGGTGTTATAAAAAGTTTTATTTATATTCTCTACTAATTGAGTTCTCTATTAATTGAGGCTGTGACTATAAAAACAGGAAAAAAATATTATGCTGCCAATTTGACAAAAGACCTTTTGCAATTTTACTAACAAAATATGTTTTTTACAGCAAACTTCAAAAATGTGCTTTCATTGCAGATTTAAACTTTTACAAGACTTTTGGTTGTTATTTTCATAAGCCAGTTACTAATCTTCGAAAACGGACTTAACCAATCGAAAGAAATTCAAATTTAAAGACAAATTCAAATGAATTTCGAAACAATTTTAATATGCAAGACATTTAAAACAAAAATTTTTATTTTTATTTAAATGTTACAAATCGTGTAAGTCTGAAAACAAATTTCAAATAATAGTCATCAAACATTTATTCCATATTCTTTAATCACACACCATGCGTTTACTTGAACTGATTAGATTTTGTTCAAAAATATTGAATTTTTCGATATAGGACTTTAATTTTCAATATTGCCTGAGTAAGCTACAATCCTGTTGAACGAATGGTGCTTGACTACTTTTGAATAGTCAAGAATACTTCACCATATCAACGCAGGCTTTTCTCACCAACTTAATAACAAAAAATATAATTATTTGCAACCCGATTAGTAATGTTCATTCAGCATTAATAAACGTATTAACCAAATGAGGGTTTCTTATACGAAAACTGATACGTTTACGTATTTTGCTCGGGTGATAAATATTTAAATACAATAAAACATAACGTAGGAATTAATGTGTAATAATAAAAAATTTACTCAAATGCAAATACAAGAATAACATTATCCTGAAAATACATTTATACACTACGAGTATTAAAAATAAAATGATTGGCTTTCTTAAAGTAGTTCACATTACTTCTTTCAAGCCATTGGTTGCCAAGAATTAACAATCATGTTGGTCGGATTAACACGCATGCTCACTATGTTTACATTCATTCTTCTCACCATATTTCTTAGGATAAACACAAAAATCTTATAACTTTTATTGAAAACTTAAGTTTGCTCAAAGAAAACTCTTCATTTTGAAAAAATTTATTGATGTCACAAATATTTTATAGAAAATAAACGTTTTTAAAATTGAATTAGGAGTTTTAAAAATCGAGAACTTTCTATAGTATTTTATTAAAATTGAACTTTTTAATTTTTAATTTGATAAAACAGACCAATAAATAAAAATTTTACTTTATTACACAAACAAACATTATTCTAAATGAAATTAATGAATTCTTATGTTTATGTTTAGCCTGTCTAAATTGTCCTCAAGGTCCGTTTGTCTTGAATAAGTTTATATGATTTAAATGGCAAATTTATGTGAGGTTTTTTTCAAAGGAATTTACACAAAATTCAGTTTCTTCCCATATATACATATGAGTTTTTTTATCCTGAACGCAAACATAAGTCGACGTCAGGCATCATCTTGTCAAAATAAATGAAAAATTGTAATGAAAATTTATAATTAAAAGTTTAGTCTTTTATTTAGATAATTGAATTAGACACTGAAATTTTAATTTTATTAAATGAACTTTAGAATATATTTTACTAACCCGCCGGATTTATATTATACCCTATACTTTTGTATATACCCTGCCTATACATATATATTGTACCCTATACATTTTCCACATAATTTAAGTAAATGTGTTAATATATTGTAGGAAATCAGAGAATGCTTTCTTATGAAAATTATAACTGCATACCAATAAACGAAGCGAAAATGTTCAATATTCCTGATTTCAAAATTGCAATAATATCGAATTAATACATTAAATTCAGTTTATCAATTGTAATGAATATTCCTTTTTAAATTATTAACAGGAATTTAAAAATTAATAAAAATGGTGGATATTTTAGTACCTATATACATATATGCATTAAACTATTTAAGTACATATGAAAAAATAAAAAGTTATAAAAATACTAGAATAACATCGCCAGACAATTTCGAATAGAACATTTGAAATAAAATAATAAAATTTTTTTTTAAATTGGAATTTTTCATATTCATACATAGTTGACCATAAATACCAAAAATTCTAAACCTTTCTTAGCCTATGTAAGTATAGTTGGATAAATTAACTGTATATTATTTCCTTTTTCTAATATAACAATAGATTTTAAGAAATTAAATGAAAAAACGAACCTTATAAAATTCTTTTCAAATCGAGGAAAAAGAAAAGAAAAACAAAAAATAACATGCGATTCAAACAATACCATTTCAAGAACAATATTGAACGCTGCTAAACCAGACAAAATGACTCTTTCTCTCGACTCGATCTCTTAAACGCCTTTGAAAAATTATTAATTTTTTTTCTCTTTTTCTGTTTATAAATTTCAGTATTTCATATATTATTTGATTTTTTTTTTGTTTTTGTGTTTTTTCACCTTCCTCTTTTGAAATTTATTAACACCTGCAATAAAAACGTTTTCAACAAATTTTTATTATTGCGCCATTTTTAATTTTTGTTTTTGTTTTTTTCCTCTGTTTTATTTACTTTATAGAATTTAAAAAAACAAAATTATTTTTTTTTTTATTTTGAAAATAACTTTGATAACACAAACATGGTAGAAATCTAAACAAAAACTAAAAAAAGAAAATTAAATAAAAAATTATTTTATGAAAGCCATTTTGAGTTAAAAGCTTCACATTGCTTGGATAAGGAACGCAAGATATGGCAAAACCAACATTGTTTTGACACATTCGAAGTTCATTTAGCTTCATATATCACAACGGGCCATTCTAGCCTGTTGTTGTGACTGTTACGATAGCCCCATCGATCCAACCTAAGCTAACCTAAGTCCTAACTTGATATAGATTATTGGCTAGTTAAGTATTAACAGTTACAACGTTCCTCTCTCTTTCTTTCTCACTCTCTCTCTCTCTCTCTTCGTTTTTCCAAAATACA